ACCACCGCTGCCATGACTGCCTGTCCTGGCCACGCCTTTTTTATCTCCTTCTCGTTACCACTACCAAGTCTATTGCCAGATCATACTCCGTAGGTACTCGTAGTCTAAACGCCCCCCCCTCTCCCTCTTCCCCTCTCCAGGCACTTGAGGCCACCTCTGAGTTTTAACTGGCATGCACCCCAGGGCTAGGGGCAGGAATTTCCCAAGCCATCTCGCTCTTCCATTTCCAGGCTCTCGACCTAAAAACCTACCACCACCACTACAAGTACTCGAATAGAAACCCGCCGCGACCATCCAATCTAGAGCCCACTCTCTTCTTCTCGCCATTCCTCCCTTTCCCTCCGCGACTTGTTCCTGTCCTTCGTCGATCCACTCATCCACACTTCCACCCATTCACCGTTCCAGAAGAAACCCAGACCTCCATCAACTGGTCCTGACGCCCTGACACCCTCCTCAAACATTCCCCCCCCTATCATTTCTGACCATCCAGCTGCAGTCCACCTCCCTCCCTTCATTCGTCCACGCAGCTTGTTCCTGGTTCCTGACAGACTTCTGTCCAACACCCGCTCCTTGCCTTACCGTTCGCTCGCTGCCACTCCTCTTATCTTCACCCTAATCACCAACCAACGTCTTCCAACGCTTCCTTCAACCCGCCCTACCTCTGTTGTGTTGTTGCCATCTGCTGTCGCATTCTTCGAGCCGAAATCCTTGACCTGCGCCGCCAGTTCATAGGGCGCCTGCACACAGCTCAACCCACCAGACCTTCCTCTTCTACGCCCATCTCGAACTCCCGCACCCCCGCCGGTTCATTCACGAAGACCTCAGCTTTCCGCGTCTCACTGTTCAGGATATCTGTAATCTCTGTCGGGTGGAGCTTTCTGGCTTGTGTTCGTTCAAAATCTGCATCTTGACAGAAGAAGGGAGAAAGAGATTATTTACATCACTCTCGCGCCGGTCGCATTGGACGTTTCCCACCCCCAGTCAAAACTTCAACACAAATAATACTGCAATCTGCCCTTTCTAGCCCGATATTTCCAATCCGTCCGCGTCTGCTCCCGGGTGGAAACGATTGTGCATCACCGATCCCAGATGACCTGCAGCCCGTTCTGAAACACGGCCGACGTCACAATATCATACAACCCCCGAGTTGTATATAGAGTTCACATCCCGCTTTGAATTCTGTTGTCCGGCACATAAAGAGTAGATGAGCTCTTCCCTCCGTTCCGACGTGCCCAGGCGTGTCTCCAGCGCAAAGGACCGCTCAAGGTCGCGTCGATCCAAGCAGGGCGCTGACATGGCGGTCGCAACCATGCTTCAGCCGGCCTCACGAGCCTCGACTTCGACCAACTCCTCCTTCGAACCTGTCAGCCGTACCAACACCTTCTCCAGCCACGATGGCGCTCGGTCCTTGCGACAGAGCAAACGGGTCAGCATGACCGCGCTCTATGCGAGTATGAGCGCAAAAGACAAAGATTTGGAAATCAGCGATGACCTCGCACGAGCACAGCGCTCGCTCAGGGACTTGAAGGTCAAGATTTCAAACCAGTCCAAGAAGAATTTTGTCCTCGAGAAGGACGTCCGCTACCTGGACTCGAGGATTGCTTTGTTGATCCAGAATCGTATGGCTCTAGAAGAGGTAGGGTTGCATTCAAATAGCCATCGTCTAAGATCGTTTGTGCTAATATATACTCCAAGCAAAATGAGGTTGCCAGTCACCTTGACGAGGCCGCCGAGCTCCAGGAAGGCTCGTTTCCGAACGACGACAAGACTCAGAAATACGGCAACCTATTCTTCATGCTTCAGTCAGAACCCAGGCATATCGCTCATCTATGTCGTCTGGTCACCATGGCCGAAATCGATTCACTGTTACAGACCGTCATGTTTACAATCTATGGAAACCAATACGAGAGCCGAGAAGAGCATCTACTGCTGACCATGTTTCAATCGGTCTTGACCCACCAGTTCGAGACAACACCTGAATATTCCTCCCTACTCCGGCAAAACACTCCCGTTTCCCGCATGATGACCACCTATACTCGACGCGGCCCGGGACAGAGTTTTCTCAAAGAAGTCCTCGCTGAAAAGATCAACTCGCTGACCGAGCTGAGCGATGTGGATCTTGAGATCAACCCCCTGAAAGTCTACGAGGCCATGGTGAAGCAAATCGAGGAAGACACCGGTACTCTTCCAGAAGACCTACCCCGGTCTGTGACTGCCGAATTTGCTGCGGAGAACGAACAAGTGCAGGCCATCATTACGCCCCGCCTCAAGATGCTGACTGAAATCGCCGAAGGATTCTTATCTGCTATCATTGAGTGCCTAGAGGAGACCCCGTACGGGATTCGCTGGATCTGCAAACAGATTCGGAATCTGTCGCGGCGCAAGTACCCTGACGCCCAGGACCAGGCTATTTGCACCCTGATTGGTGGCTTTTTCTTTTTACGCTTTATCAATCCTGCCATTGTCACTCCAAAATCTTACATGCTGATTGAGCGAGTGCCCGACGAGAAGCCCAAAAGGACTCTGACCTACATCGCTAAGATGCTTCAGAACCTGGCCAACAAGCCATCCTACGCCAAGGAGCCGTACATGGCCAAGCTCCAACCGTTTATCCAACGGAACAAGGATCGCTGCAACAAGTTCATGTTGGACCTGTGCGAAGTTCAAGACTTTTATGAGAGCCTGGAGATGGACAACTACGTGGCGCTATCCAAGCGTGATCTTGAGCTTCAGATCAGTTTGAACGAAGTGTATGCAACTCACGCTTTACTTGAGAAGCATAGCACGGAATTGGCCAAAGATCCTTCTTCTCATCTGGGAATTCTACTGCAGGAACTTGGCCCGGCACCACCACAATTACCTAGAAAAGAAAATCGGGCAATCAATCTGCCTCTCTACAGCAAGTGGGAGACAACCTTTGACGACCTGACCCACGCGCTCGACATCACTCCAGAAGAGATTCACTTTATGGAGGCCAAGAGCACCTTTGTGCAGATCATGCGAACTTTGCCACAGAACGCGATTGTTCTGCGACGCCCTCTTCGTCTGGACCGGGTGGCGGAAGCAGCGGGGACCCTCAAGAATGACGCCGTCATGGTGCGGAAAGGCATCCGATGCATGGAACTTCTAACACAACTTTCCGAATGGGGAGTGATAGACCGTGCCGACGACTATGCTGTGCTCCGCGATGAAGTTGAGCAGGAGCTAGCCCACCTCGGCTCGTTGAAGGAGAAGGTGTTGGAGGAGACGGCCAAGTTGGAGGATGTTTATAAGACGATTCGGGACCACAACGCATACCTTTTGTCCCAACTCGACACGTACAAGAATTACCTGCACAACGTCCGAAGCCAGTCTGAAGGTGCGAGAAGAGGCAAGACGGAGAAGGTGCGCGAACTTGGCCCGTATAAGTTCACCCACGCTCAGCTGGAGAAAGACGGCGTGATTACGAGGAGCAATGTGCCCGAGAACCGGAGAGGTAATATCTTCTTTATGTTCCGAAGCCCACTCGCAGGTACTTTTGTCATCAGCCTGCATTACAAAGGTGAGCATGTCCGGCGTTGATGCGCGAACAATGGATTGGTGAGACTAACCTGGTGATAGGACGTGCTCGTGGTCTCCTCGAGTTGGACCTCAAGTTAGACGATCTGCTCGAGATGCAGAAAGATGGTCAGGACGACCTCGATCTGGAATATGTGCAGTTTGATGTCTCCAAGGTTCTGACCCTGCTCAACAAACGATTTGCAAGGAAGAAGTAGACGGCGGATTTGGACCCCCAATCATGTAGGCCGCATGATGGTTGGAGCACGAAAGCACGAAGGACATATTCAGGCAGAAATCTCGGAACACGACGGGGACGAGCGACACGACTGAATTGAAGCAAACACACTCCCAGCGATTGACGAAAAAGAAGCCGGCGAGCTGACTGGGTCATTGCCATATTATTACTATTTTTGGTTGCATTGGGTCCCTTTCCTACTCTCTTTTCTGTTTTACTAGGAATCCAAGCGCGCATCATCGATTTTTGTTGTGTGTGAGTAATATTTTCAATCGGGAGATTTTGTCTCGAGGGTTTGTTGATGTTGATCAAGAGCGAGCGAGGAAGGACAGCAGTTTGCAACACCGTCGAGAGCAGTTTCAGTTCAGTGTTGGGTCTATCTGATTCTCGGTGTGTTGTGTCTGTGTCGGTATGAGCGAAGGGGGTGTCCGTCTGTGTCTGTGTACGGAGCGTGTGTAATTTATATATCGAAGGAGGGGGGCCAGCTCCCTGAGAGGCGGGTGGACTGTGTTTTTGAACGACGCAAAATGATTTTTGTATTAGGAACTGAGGGAAAGGGAAAGGGTGAAGGGGTTGGGACATACCCCCATTGTACTAATATAAAGCACCCTTTTTTGGGAGGAGGCTTTTTGATACAGAAGGATCTGGTTTATTGCGTTTCTCTGTTTGTCCCTAGAACTGAATTGACTCGTATAGCGTCCTTGGTCCTTGAAAACCGCTGGCCAGATACGGTGTTGGTGTTGGTGTTGGTGTCGAAGTTGACGGACATTTCTCGATTCAAAGGCTCTTAACTCCGGCCGGTATCGGCAGTACAATAACCCGATCTCTACTAGTGTCTCGTCCCGGTCCAATAGGAGTCCGCAGCCGCCGCCTACCGCCCAGATAATGGGGCCATCGTGGGCCTCTCATTATCTCGTCTGTTTAGTAACCATCTCTCGACCTTTTGAGTCAGATCGTTATCTCGACTACGAGCAAATCGAGGTGCTTCTCCTATATTTGATACCGCTTGTACCTCTAGGAGCTCACCCCCCCTTACTTTCCTGCTAAGACATCTATTTACCCGCCATAATTTTTGGGGGTAGTTTCATTTCGTCTCGTCAATATGGACGTCTTCGAGTTGCCGGCGTCTCACGCCTCGCCCCTCTAACACGTGTGAGGCACATTTTTACTCCTTCTACCCTGTGGATTGGTTAGTCTGGCCCAGCAACGAACGTACCTGACTGTCATGGGAAAAGCAAAGAAACCAACCAAAACACCTCAACCTCTATCCCCGAGGATTATAGTACAGAATGTTGGTGGGGCCGACCAGGTGAGTAGGGGGGGACTTGAGTATTCGTCACTGTGTCGTCGCTGACGTGGGATATAGCGCATCCTGGTAGCAGAGTTTGAGGGGTTGGCCGTAGCAGATGGCCCTGATATCATACCAGACGACAAGGCCTGGTCGCGTTCCGTTCCCGGACATGTTGGGCCCATCGCAGTCGGGGACGAACCCAGCATTAGCGGTCTCTCGGTGTGCAAAGAAGCCAGACCTGAGGAAGAGTTCCTCGAGGTCAGATCGACTGCGGACCGCGGTCTCGCTGTCTTTGCGGCTCGCAAAATCAAGGCCGGGACACTCGTGCTGGTCGAACGGGCCCTGATCGCATTGGACAAGGACGAGGAGAACGACTACGGCGCGGTGGAGCGCGCGTTCTCCCGACTCTCCCGCGCCGAGCAGAAGATGTACCTGCGCCTGTTCGATGCGCAGAAGTCGCGCATGTCCCGCGTCGTCTCCATCTACTACAGCAACTGCTACAACTGCGAGACGTTCCGGCCCGGCGGCCAGGGCGGCTCGGCGATCGGCGCCCTCTCGAGCCGCATCAACCACAGCTGTGTGCCCAACGTGCAGTTCTCGTTCGACGAGGCCCGCAACGAGATGAGGTTCTACGCCATCCGCGACATCCCCCGCGGGAAAGAGGTGTGCAGTAACTACGACAAGGCCGTCTTTGAGGTCGCGGCCAAGCGGCAGAGGAAACAGCAAATGTACTATGGCTTCGTGTGCCGCTGCGAGGCGTGCGATCCGAAAACAGAGTTTTGGGCCAAGAGCGACGAGCGCAGGCGGGACATGTACGACGCCATTCGAGCCGTGCAGTGGTGTGAGAAGAAGCTGGCTGTGGCGGAAAGCGGTGCAGTGGCCGTGACGGTGGTGACGAGTGATAGAGGCCAAGCTGGAGCTGGAAACTCTAACGCTGCCGCTGTTGCCGCCGCTGACGCTGGGAGTGTGAACGTGGTGGTAGACGAGGCATTGGCCTTTTTGACGAAACTCGAATCGTTACTCCTAAAGGAAAGCCTCGTGGGAGTGCCCCTGGCCAACACGTATCGCAGCATGGCCAAGTGGGCGGACCGGAAGGGCGACAAGGCAAAGGGCACCGACGAGGCTGTCAAGTGGAAGATCAAGGAGCTCGAGGCCTGTATTACCGCTCTTGGGGGGGAGGGTCACAGAACCAAGGAGATCGGGACCTGGTTGGAGAGACACCCTGTTCTTGGACGTTGAGGAAGAGGAGGAGGAGGATCATGATTGGAACTTTGAGTGAATGCGTGAGCGAGTGAGTCCAAGTCCAAGCCAAAGGACAAGTAGGACGGCTAGTACTTGTACGCTATTTATGTACTTGTAGATTTCTGTATCATCTATCCTAGAACATAGACTCTATAGACCACATAGACCACATAGACCGTATAGAATAGAGTAGAATATATAGAAACAGCACAGCGCAAAACTGTACAACACAGGACGGGAGCAAATCCTGAATGTCTCACAGGTTAGATACACTTCTTGACGCAAAGGCGAGCGAGTGATCGACCTCAAGCTGACTCTCAATCTGAATCTGACTCGCATATGGATAGATGGTCTGTCTGTCTGTCTGCTTCTATCTACTCAGTACCGAGTATCCTTTGTCTTGGTCTACATAAGCAGACCTCGTTGTGGACTGGGTACTACCTACCTTTCCTATATACCTACCTGCCTGCCTGCCTGCCTACACCATTGAGATGGAGGCAAGGCAAGGCAGGGGAGATAAATAGATAGATACCTGTATATAGTCTGTATCTTGTAGCTTGTGGCTCAAATCCATGTTATGCTTTATGATTTTACTGGCGTTGTTGTTTCAGTTTATACGTGGCCTCCTCCAACTCGACCAGCAACTCCATGCAGACGGGATCGGCGGCGGGCACGATCTGGTTGAACAGGGTGGCCGCGACGCCGCCCTTGCGGTCGACCCACCAGAACAGGTTGGGCAGGCCGCCCCAGTTGACGGTGCCGGCGTGTCTGCGGCCGGGGACGTCCTCGAGGTTGACGGCCCCGGCGAGCGAGTGGCCCGCGGGGACTGCGCCCTGCTCTCCCTGCGAAGTGGTGACGGCGGCGGTGGCGGCCGAGGCGGCGGCGTTCGCGGGCGACGACTTCCACAGCCGGTCGCGCCCCGTGCCCCGGACGGAGGCGTGGAAGGCCTCGGTGCTCCCGGGGCCGATCTGCGGGCGGAACATCTCGTCGACGCTCTCCTTTTTGAGCAGGCCCCCGCCGTCCTGCAGCAGCGCCGTCAACAGCCGGATGTAGTCGTTGGCCGTGCTGTACAGGCCCGCCCCGCCGATCGCGTCGCGCGGCGCCAGGGGCCACAGCGACTTGGCCGGTTTCGAGTCGAGCGCCTTGGGGGACTCGGCCGGGTTGCTGCGTTGGGCGGTTTCGTGCAACGGCGGCATGGGGTTGGGCTGGAAGTGTTTGGTCGGGAAAAAGGTCGTCGATTTGGCCGAGAGGGGGCCCCAGATGTTTTCCTGCACGTATGTGTTCAGGTCTTGTTTCGTGAGGACTTCGACCTATCGCACCACACAAGTTGAGGTAAGAGGTCAGTTACTTTTCCCCCCCCAATCTCAAGACCAAGCATTGTCATTCTTTTGGGGTCAAGCAGGAAAAGAAGCAAGTGGGAGTGGGAAAAGAGACCGTCCAGGGCAGGGCCAGGACCAGCGATCGGACCAGGAAGGGAACAAATGACACAAGAGACCGTACGTACCACTCGTCCTGCCCAATCGAGTCCATCACTATACATCCATGATTCGCCTGGCTGGTAGAGCAGTGGATGTAATGCGCCTTCCTGTCACCCTGATAGTCAGCTTTCTAGGAATACCTCTCGGTCTCGCACATCAGAGGTGCTAAGAGAAGGTCTTACAATCGTCCCACTGAACATGTTATCCGTTCGGCCCACCAACGCGGACCATTTGACGAGCAGTGGACTGCTCACATCGTAGCAGAACCCCGACGTGTGCGACAGGAGTTGTCTGAAAAGTTGACAGCGCTTGGGTCAGCAATGCCGTGCACAGAGGAAAAGGACAGGGCGGTTGAACACAAACCGTAGAGTGATCTTCCCCTTGACGTCCTCGAAGATGGGATTCCCCTTTGGCTTCAACTTGTCCAGATCGGTACCTGCGCCGCCGCGGGAAAATGCTGCTGGGTCCAGCCCCTGTGCGCTGTCCTCGCCTTCAAAGCCCAGGAGAACCTTCAGGTCCTTCAACACGGGGAGAACTTCGCGCACGTCGTCGTCCAGGCCGATGAGGCCCTTCTCGACGATCTGCATGACCGCGACCGAGGTCACCAGCTTGGTCTGGCTGGCGATCCATGTCAGGGTGTCTGGCGTCAAGGGATCCGATCTGTCGACGGTGCGGCCCCCGAATGAAGCACGATAAAGGTCATTTCCTTCCTGGGTTGTCAATCGTCCTTGTACTTTATCCTCACTTCTAAACAGTCACACTCACCTGCGCTGTCGACGGCGACAAAGGTGGCGCCGTGGACGGAACCCGTGGCAGGGTCAGTGTATTTTCGGAGAATCTCGTCGAGCTCAGCCATTGTTATTGCTCGTGTTCGTGGTGTTGGTGACTTGTGCGCAAGGGGATGTCGACAACGAGACAAGAGCAACTACTGCTGAGATACACCGTCGACCCATTCCAGCCGCTTATGAATGCGAACCTACGGTTTTAAACGTCTCCATCGTTCGCGCCATCGATCGGGCCCAGCGCCCGAACGCTGCATTCCTGTTGGATCATGCAAGGCCTCTACCTCTCCCTCTCTCCAAATCAACCTTCCGTTCCGAGGCGTTGTCTCGCTATTTCCGATAGTGGCACCAGTGGACACAGGCGGGTCTACTCCGTAGTATTACCGACACACCCTGCACGACTTGTCCCCCTCCCTCCCACCTGCAAGGACAGAACCTCGGCGAACGCCAGCTGGGAAAAGGGCAAAAGAGAAGAAATATCCACACCCACAACGGGGTTCTCCAACGTCGGACGCGGTCCGATGGATGGCCTAAGGCTGATAAAAGGAGGATTCTCCTACATACATACAGTCTCTTCCATGCCACATCAAGATCCTGATGAGTCGACAGGCAATGAGAAATAACAAGTCATAAAAACAAACTGCATCTTGGACAACTTGAGAGGCTGCGGAACGACGTGGACATCTTCTTGTCCTCTTATAGCGACCGGTGCAAGAGCTAGCTGGCCTGGCTGCTGTTCCAACAGTCTGCTTCGCGGCATAAGTCTACAACTAAGGCTGATCTCGATATGTCTTCTAGGCTGGAGTAGCTCCGAGCAGTCCCAGCGGTGCAACGCCAGTGTTGCTTCCACTGCTCTCAAACATTCAGGAGTCGTCAAATTCTTGTAAAGTCGTCACCTTCTTGTTGCCTACCCTCATAGACCCTTCACCCATAATCGCAGACCACTAGCGGCGGCACCAATCTCGCAAACCTCGCACATCTTGCACACCTGTCCCTTGAACTGGCTCTGATACTTGGCTCCATCGAATGGACATGACACGCTTTGCGCTCCGGTGTAGATGGGAGTGAAGGAAGCGGCGCAGACGTCGAAATCCGCGAATTGGTCGTATTCAATGTCGATCTTGTCGCTAGATCCCAAACGCTCAGCCTGTTGTTTGATTTTCTTTGCCTGCAAACGAAGTTAGCAACTTAGCGGGATGCTTTCTCTCCATCTACTCACCTGTTCAACCAATTTCGCCGCGCCACCGTTGGCTAGGATGCGATTTGCAAAGGACAATGCACTAGAATACTGTCGGTTCGAGAATGCCAATTTCATAGCTGCCATCAGAGCCAGTTGCCGGTGAGAGACTTCGAGTTTGGGCATGGTGAAGTATGCCGAAAGCTCTAGCTGTCGCTTGAGTTGTGCTTCGGCCTCACCACCCTCAGCCGCAAGCCGACGTCTTTCAAGCTCAACGCTCATCGCAAGCGTGTACTCCATCGCTTTCGTAATCAGCGCCTTAGCTTCGTCCACCTGTGCCTGCGAACTGACGACGTTGACAAGAAGCGATTGCAGCAGTCGCCGGAACGTGAGGACACCTTGCTCCAATTTGTTTGTCCTCATGGCTGTGTATCCTTCTTGTAGCTCAACATTGCTGAGGGTCTCCAGGTTTCGGGGAATGACAGGCAGGAGCTTTCGGTTGTCCGTCTCGTCGGTGGTGCGGCGAACATAGTTCACAATAGGCGGCAAGCCGGCATTGGCGGGCAGAAATGTTTTAGACGCCTGGTAGATCTCCAGGAATCTCGACTTGAGGGGCTCAAAATGTACCGCCCCAACTTGACGGTTCAGCAATTGCATGGCACTGTCGAAAGAGCCTGCTGCAACATGGTCCGCGGCTAGTGGAGAGTTTCTCGACCACATATCTGCCTCTGAGCTGCCCGGTCCAGCAGCTTCTGCAGGTGCATCCGGGTTGTCGACATTGACAAAATCCGAGTCATTCCCTGTAGCCTCGAGTCCGATGTCGTCACCCATGTCCCAACCTTCGCCAGCATCCGCATCCTCGTCCGCTGCGAGCCCGTCACCGTCGGCAGCAGCGGGGACGTCCTCGGTGAGGAGATCAGGGCTTGTTTCGTCATCGACTGCTACGCCCACCTCGCCGAGAAGCGCTCTCTCAAATGACGAATGTGATGCCTCCTTGACCGGCCAGTTCGCTTTGTAGGTAGGAACAATGACTTTAGGAGGAGCAAGACCTTCTCCCGCCTCAGGCATCGAGATTTGGTCTTCCGTCAACCCACAAAGCTCGAGTATTGATTGACATTCTTCGATCAATCCGTGAGACTTTGCAGTGAGATAAGCCAGGGGATATTGGTCGATCTCCTTGAACATTTGGATCCGACTCTCCACGTCATCGAGATAGAGAGCATTTTGCAATCTGGAGACAAAATCTCCGCGATGCTCGGCGATTTTGGCCATTCTCGTCAGCTTTTCCTCGTCGCCCGTGCAAAGGTACAAGAATGAGAGTTTGTCGAAATTTCGGAGTTTCTGATAGGTCATTTCCACGGTCTGATGATTGCCATGAACCAAAGCTTCGGTGCCCAAGCGTGTCCAGATTTTGGGTCGGTCCAACTCTTTGGCCATTTCTGTGGCCACTTCCAGGTTACCACATTCAATGGCGAGTTCGAATCTCGTCTGGGGATCTTGCACAAACTGTAAAGCGATCTCGGGATAGCCTTTCTTTTGGAGATAAGAAATGATGCTCTG